TATGAGGTTCTTGATGATGATTTATGGGCCTGATCCAAGTTCTGCCTGCTTCAATGGCAGCTCTTTCACTGACTTCACTGTGTTTTGTTGCAACAATTTTGGGTGATGCTAGAAGTTGTTCTTCCATTTAAAATGTTCTCTCAGGAGTGTTTTGCTTTCATCCAGTTTTGTGCTTTGTTGTTTCATTTTAAACCTCTCAGTGTAATTTGCAAGTGGTTGTTTTCCCCAAAAGACTGGATCTGCAGGGCTCTGTCATTTACATTAAAATATAAAATTTTTTAAAAGTTGTAGTTGAGGTTCATAAATAGTTTGTCATAAAACTGCATTAAAATATTTTAAAATGTTTATGGAAAAGTGCTGGTTTCATTTTATATTTTATACCAAAGTCATGAAATAAAGCACATACACAACCAGCCAGTGATCATATATTTTATTTTAGAATTATCACATAGAAATAAAATCAGTTTTAAATCCCTGTATGGCATAACAACTGTATATAAAAAGCTGCTGATGCCTCATGGAAAACTTTGGAAAGCTTTCTGCTTAGATAAATTCTGCTCATATATCCCATATATGGTGAATCAAAACCAGACCTGTGTTTCTTCGGGATCTCTCTTACACTCTTGCTGTTTAATTTATTGTTCAAGGGAAAAAGGAAGTGGATTTAATCCAGATTTACACTGGTCAAATTAGTCCACAATCTTTGATTTGTGACAGAGTTTATTAATAAAGATGAGAGAGTTTTCACAAACTGCTGATGAGCTGTTAGGAATCCCATTTTCTTTCCACGGATGTGCCCATAATAACAAAACTGAGGGCATGCTGCTGTTTTCTCAGGTCTCTAACACACATTATATTTAAAATAAATTGTTGCTAAATTTTTGATTTGATGAATCAGTTTAATTATTAATTCCTGTGCTTCCATACACCACCTTATTTCCAAGGGTTTATGGTCATTATAAAATAAAGGGAGAAAATTACTCAGGAACGAAACTTGCACTCCCAGTCTCTCTCTCTGCATAAACATATGTATCTAACGTAAAACCAGAAAATTTACTTCTGGATTCTGTGAAACCATTGATCCATGGATCAATGCCCACACAGAATGAAAGCCGTATATGGCCTTTTCCAATATATGCAAGTAAAAAGGGTAAGCCGAAGGCGAATATTTCTGCTTTAGGGCATAGGGCTTTTTTTAATCTTTGTAAGTGTACGTGTGTGTGTGAGTGTTTAGTTCAGTCGGTGTTGACATTTTTGCAGCTTTTTGGCTCGTAGTGTGGACGTAGTTCTCGTTGTATTTGAAATAAGTGTAGAGGTATTCGGCACAAGTATTCTAACAAACAACCCCTGGCCATGTTCAGAAACTTTTTCATGACACGTCGTTGTGCATGCACCTGTAGTCACATGATCCAGCACTCAATATGATACATAAATATTGATTTACACAATAGCTCCTTCTGTTCCAGTAAGTCAGAAAAGGGATCGTGCATTTTTTAAATACCTTTAAATCCATATTTGCCCAATGGACTTTAACTGCCCTTTTTATAGGTACAGTATTACAGTTTATTAGGTATATGAAATATATACATACACACACACTTATATCTATATCTATCTCTATATATAGATATTGAAACACACACACACACAGATATAGAGATAGATATAGATATATAAAGAGAGAGAGAGAGCAAAGAAATCCCTACTGATTTATTTTCAGTATATTCTTTGATGAGGCCTAACGCATTCATCACTGTGGTATCCAGATGCCCATCAAATGGTAATGCATTTCTACACG